CAAGCAAACTGCCATAAGCCGATTGAATTCGGTAGAAAGACGTCTGTCAAAAAATCCAAAGTTACAATCAATGTATACCGATTTTATGATGGAATATTATAATCTGGGTCATATGTCTAAGGTCAACAACTCGAAAGTGCCAGAGGTAGAATACTTTCTCCCTCACCATGGCGTGTTCAACGAAAGTAATCAAACGACAAAACTTAGAGTCGTTTTCGACGCCTCTTGTCGAACGACGTCCGGTCTGTCATTTAATGATATCCAACTAATAGGCCCTATAATCCAACAAGATCTTATCTCTATCTTGTTAAGATTTAGGCAATACCCAATAGTGCTTTGTGCAGATATCATTAAAATGTATCGCCAGATCCTGGTTCAGTTAAATCAACGCCCTTTACAACGTATTGTTTGGAGGGATGAGTCGACAGACAATATTCAAACATTCCAGTTAAATACGGTTACGTACGGCACTGCTTCGGCACCATGGTTAGCCGTCCGTTGCCTCAAGGAATTGGCTTCAGAAAGCTCAGTTCAATTTCCTAAAACTTCGAAGGTTATACTGGAAGACTTTTACATGGACGATGTACTCACTGGTTGTTCCACAGAAAGTGAAGCCAAACAGCTATGTGATGAGCTACACATTATCCTACAAAGAGGCTGCTTTCAACTACAAAAGTGGGCATCTAATAATCAAAACGTTTTGAACCATGTTCAGGCTACCAACCCAGAAGCTTTATTAAAGCTCGGCGATTACGAAGGTACTAAAACATTAGGTCTCTTTTGGGACTGCAAAGGTGATAATTTGACCTACAAAATCAAAATAAATCAATCAGATGGATCCGTATGTAAAAGGTCCATTTTATCAGACATATCTAAAATATTTGACCCGCTTGGACTAGTCAGTCCTTGCATTATAGTGGGAAAAATACTAATGCAACAGCTTTGGATGATCAAAGTTAGTTGGGATGAATCACTCCCAACTGAAATACATACCAAATGGTGTAAGTTCCGACAAGAACTAGAACATCTAAATCAATGTGAAATTCCAAGACACATTATATGCGAATGTCCTATCAAAATCGAAATCCATGGTTTCTGCGATGCATCGCTGGAAGCCTATGGCGCGTGTATATTTTTACGAAGCATTGATCTCTCTGGTAATATTAACGTTAAGCTTCTTTGTGCAAAGTCTAGGGTCTCTCCCTTAAAATCTCTAACAATTCCCAAGCTGGAGCTGTGTGGGGCGCTTCTTTTGTCACAGCTTGTGAAGAAAACAGAGGCTTCCTTGAATTTGGATATCAGCGAGATCTTTCTTTGGTGTGATTCCTCCGTAGTGTTGTGCTGGATCAAAACGCAACCTAATCTTTTACAGACATTTGTTCAACACAGAGTGTCACAGATTCAGCAGACCACAACTCCAGATCGTTGGTTCTATATCAGAACTAAAGAGAACCCTGCGGATATCGTATCGCGAGGGTGTACCCCACAATTCTTATTGAAATCGTCCCTTTGGTGGTCTGGTCCACCATGGCTATCTCAGTCTTCAGATTCTTGGCCAAGTCATAAACAAGAACTGTTGGCATCAATTCCAGAGCTTCGTAAACAAACCGTAACATTTCTAGTTACTGATCCTGCCATAACCTTTCCGTTCAAGAACTTTTCTAAGTTCAATCGTTTAAGGCGAACAATGGCATATGTACATAGGTTTATTTTTAATCTAAAGGCAAAACGTTCCGGTCGAAAGGTAGGGGTCTTGACGTCAGTCGAACTCAATCAAGCTCTTTTAACCTTGACAAAACTAGCTCAAATCGAAAGTTTCACAGAGGAAAGGCAAGCTTTGTTAAATCACAAACCATTACCCAAAACATCTCGTTGCTCCGATCTCAACCCTTTTCTGGATCAGGAGGGCATTTTGAGAGTTGGGGGAAGATTGCAAGCCTCTTCATTTTCTTATGACAAAAAACACCCGATCTTACTACACCATAAACATGTTTTAACCAAACTCATTTTCGAACATGAACATACTCGGTTATTCCATGCATCACAACAACTTTTATTGTCCTCAATTCGAAATAAATTTTGGCCCTTATCTGGACGAAGCTTGGCCAGAAAAACTGTTCGTTCTTGTGTGGATTGTTTCCGAGTTAAACCATATCAAACAAATCCTATTATGGGAAACCTGCCGCAAGCTAGAGTTTCCCCGGCTCCTCCATTTAACACAACAGGTGTTGATTACGCGGGTCCTTTCCAACTCAAGGAAAGAAAGGGTCGAGGAGTAAAATCTTGGAAGGCATATCTATGCCTATTTATTTGCTTCACAACTAAAGCGGTTCACTTGGAACTCGTAAGTGACCTGACTACGGAAGCCTTCTTGGCCGCGTTTCGAAGGTTTTGCGCCAGACGAGGCAAGCCGTCGCAGATTCACTCAGATAATGGTACTAATTTTACCGGAGCAAATAATGAACTCAAAGAGTTATCAAAATTCTTATACGCTAACGAAAATACTTGGGTGAGTCTTTAAACGATATCGGTGTGTCCTGGAGCTTCATACCAGCTTATTCGCCGCACATGGGGGGGCTTTGGGAAGCAGGTATCAAGTCAGCAAAATTACACCTTAAACGCGTAACAAAAAATATAATTTTTACATACGAAGAGTTATCAACTTTGCTAGCTGAGATAGAGGCAGTGCTGAATTCGCGACCCTTAAGTCCGCTATCCAATGATCCCAACGATTCCTTAGCACTAACCCCAGCTCATTTCCTCATTGGTCAACCTTTGACATCTATACCTGACCCAACACTCGAAAGTATTCCTATATCCCGTCTTTCTCGCTATCAGCTGGTGCAGCAAATCAACCAGCATTTTTGGAAAAGATGGTCTCAAGAATTTGTCAGTGAGCTTCAAAGGCGAACCAAGTGGAAGTACCATAATCAACCTGTGAAGGAGGGCATACTCGTCGTAATCAAGGAAGATCATTTACCTCCACTAAAATGGATGCTTGGTCGCATCATAGAGTTGCATCCAGGTAGCGACAAAATTGTTAGAGTCGCCTCCATCCGAACCTCCAGTGGTATTATCCGCAGATCAGTTGCCAAGATCTGCCCGTTACCAGTAGAAGATAGTGAAGATTGAAAACTTCTGCAAGTTTCCAATGGGGGGAGCATGTTAGAGACAGTTTTATTTATATTTTAATATAGACGCGGCAACCGCGCACCGCGAAGTTTGTACGTCGGCTTGGTTCTTAACCGTCGTTGAGAACAACATTGTAAATCCGAAAGTCAGACAATAAAGACATGTTTCTGTAGTTCCTTAGTCAATTAATTCAATCCTAAATCGAAAGTAAAATCCCACATAGCGGGAAGTAAAACAACGTAACAATGTTGCCAGTAGTTTCGGCAAAATCGTAAAAAATGCGTAAAATTTTTTTCTTCACCGCCCTGTATTTTGAAAACAGATGGCGTTACAAAAATTTTTTACTAAGCATACCCCAATTATTTTTCAGTTTTTTACCTACCCTAGAGACGGGGTTACCTTTTTTTGAAACACCCTGTATATCTAGACGAGACAAATAAGATGGTAATGGACACATCAATAATCTTCAATTCATTTTCAAAAATAACTGTGCATACAGACACCGATAATGACCCGCTAAAGTATTAAATATAGAGGTGGAAACGAATCATTTTAACTGAAATGCGAGTAAAACCCAAATGTAGATACACTCTGAAGAAATAAATTCAAAAATGTCTCATTTTTAATAAAAACTGCATTGTATACTAAAATATTTATATTAGAGCACTGAGAAAATATTATTCTAACGTTTAATTCAATTTTATCTGTTGTTGATCACATTGTTTCTCCAAGTAAGTTGTTGGAAGCTCGAATTAGCAATATTACGTTACTTCTACTGCTCTAACTACAGCGTTGTCATATTTCAAGGTTTCTTGTGAATCTCGCAGCCAAAAATAAGTATATTATACGCTGTGGCGCAAAGTTCTTTTCGTAGATAATCGCATGAACGTAGCAGATAGAATCTACAAAAATTCTACTCATTTGATAGATCTACAGTGTCACGACATTTTTAAATTGTTAACAAAAAAAACTAAATTATTTGTGTAAGTATGGTTTGGTAGTAATGATTATTTCTTTAACATTATATTTTACAATTTTTGCAATAATCACACAATACTCCACGATTAGAATCTTACGCCAATTACTCTGTATAAAAGTGAAGAAGAAGAAAAACGTGCATATGTGTAAAATGTACTACACTACTTGGAAAACTGTGAGATAAATTGGTGTTGGTGATACTTATCACATTGTTACGAACCTGATCACCACCCTGCAGCACCAGAAGCGAAAAACACAAACACACAGTCATTAGGGACAAAAAGGTTGTCAAAAAAAGGTAAAAAAAATCTGGTAGTATCGTGTACGTCTGATCCTAGCGATAGAAAGTTTCGATTTATGCGACATATGTAAGCAGTGATTTCATCATTGGGACGTTTTTGGTGCAAAAATAAGAACCAACGAAGATATACTGCAAAAACGTTGATCTTGCACTTTCTTCTTCAGTTTTACGTGATAAATCAGTTGTCTAGTATGAGTTTTAGGTGGAAATAAACAAATTTATCACAGTGTTCACTACTATAGTTAAGTTTTTTTTTAGTATGTACGAAAAAAGGTCACTATGTCAGTGAATATGCTACAGTGACGAAAAAGGTCAATACTCGTTTCAGTCAGAGAATGAAATAACTGCTTACATTGTACAGTGCTGACCTAAACCATAATAAACTGAAGCAAATTCTACCTAAATGGTACATAAAAACATAAAACATAAAACAAAAAACACTTACGTCAGAAGAATTCTAAAAAACAGAAACAAAAAATATAAATAAAAGAAACTTAAGCGTTCAAATCGAGTGTAGTTTGTGTTGGAATAAGTAAAAAATCGTGTACGTTTATACAAGTGTTGTGAGAACAAATCATTTTGTACTTACATCTTCACCGTTCAATGATTCCGTCTGCTTTTCGGGATAGACGCCGGCCCTAAGGAACGACGCTTTCCACGAATCGACCTCGTCCAATGTTTCACAGCTCAATTCAAGTTGTTTGTAGTCCTGTAAAGGAAATCCAGTTGACAAATCGATTTTGCAAAACATAATGTCTATCAATTTGGAATTTTTCCACACTTTTCTGTCACCAAGATGATTGGTTAGCAAAATCGTCCAAAACCAAAGTACAACAAGCTTGATTTTGGACTACTTGCTTGATGCCGATGACTAGAAGTTCCTCCTTTGATTTTAAGATTTCCATGATAGACAAGAAGTGATCGACGATGATCAGAGAGCTGTAAGAAGTGGTGTCGTATCGCTAGATCTCTTCTTGAGCTCTTGATTCTTCCTTCATTACCTATAGAGATGTTAATCTTATTATCTTATAATCTAGCTATAAGATACCACTTTTTACGACCCCCAGGTCATTGTGGATAACATCTTATACGTCTTGGAAATCTCAAGATCAAAGGAGGAACTTCTGATCATCCTGAACTTGTGAAATACTGATGAATGGTTATCAAAATGATCCAGAATAAAAAAAGAACAATGTAAGTAACCATGACGTCAGACTCTCTGATGCCGATGACCAGAAGTTCCTCCTTTGACTGAGGTTTCCAAGAATGACAGGAAGTGATTGACAATGACCAGAGAGCTGTAAGAAGGAGTATCGTATCGCTAAATCTCTTCTTGAACTTTTTCAGCTACCCTTTCGACATTGACATCCATTCCTTTCGAAAATAAGACTAGATTTGGCTATAAGATACCATGTGTTACAACCTCCTGGTCATTGTCGATCACTTCTTATATGTCTTGGAAATCTCAATGTCAAAGGAGGTACTTCTGATCATCGATAGAAGAGATCCTGATGATTGGTTAGCCAAATCGTCCAAAACCAAAGTAGAACAAGTTTGATTTTGAGCTACTTTGGTAACCATGCCACCAAGATCTACGATGTCGATGACCAAAAATGCTTCCCTTAACCTTGAGATTTCCAAAAAGAACAGGAAATAATCGACAATGACCAGAGGGCTGTAAGAAGCGGTCTCGTATCGCTAGATCTCTTCCTGAGCTTCTTCAGCTATCCTTTCGTCATTGAGATCAATCACTTCTACTTTTTGGAAATCTTAATGTCAAAGGAGGTACTTCTGATCATCGGCAGCGAAGAATCTGATGATTGGTTTTTAAAATGGTCCAGAATCAAAGTAGAACAAGCTTGAGGTAACCATGTCATCAAGATCTCCGATGCCGATGACCACAAGTTTCATCAATCTCTTTCGAAAAGAAGAATAGATCTGGTTATATACCATCTTTTACAATCTCCTGGTCATTGTGGATCACTTCTTGTACGTCTTGGAAATCCCAAGGTCAAAGGAGATACTTCTGATCATAGGCATTGGAGACTGATGGTATGGTTACCAAATTAGTCCAGAACCAAGTTTGCTCTACTACTGGTTATTCCTTGGTTTACAACAACTGATCTTGTTGTAAACTAAAGTATTTTACTTGTATTCTGTTCTCTCATCTTTCGGCACACTATATTTTTTTTTTAAAGATTCCTAGTGTAAATAAATTGGTTATTATTGTGCATTTTTACATAAAAAAATATATAATCCACCACGTATCATTAATTATTATTTTTCTACTCGTAAACAAATGAAATAGCTTTCTACTTTCGTCAAATTAAAAATTTCCGGCACCTATATACAAATTCGACTATTAGGCAACGTTGTACAGTCGCTCAAACGTAAGACTGAATGATTTACGATAAAAAACGTGTTGTATAAGAGAAAACACTTACCTTATATACATTTCTTCCATCCGGATTGAAAATGGCGAACATATGCCTTCTCGACATAAAACTCTGTTCGATATCCCTCAGTTTCAGACCGTCCAAAGGCAACATGTACTTCTTCTCTCTCTCCTCTTCGTCCTTGTACCAGGAGATGCTCTCCGACGTGAGAACGAACCAGTAATCTCGCGAACCGCCTTTCATTATACCCAAATTGTGGATACACATGTAGCCCTTTCGGATCACTTGGTTGCCGAGAGTGCCTCGGGTGCCTTTGGCTGTTGCGCTTTCAGACTGACTTTGTGCACTAACGAAAAATGAATGATGTGTAAACAAAAACCTTGTTAATCAAAAATAATACGATATAAGCCACGAAATCATTTAAAAAGATATCCTAGGTGTCACAGGTGAATAATTTGGCAACGCCGCTTATTATTGTTGTAGTTATGACGTCATAAAGCAAGTGTTTGATTAATTCGACTTTAATAGTTATTTAACTGATTTAAAAGTTTGTTATGGAACTGATAACTGATAAAAAATCACTAAGCGATATATTTTTGAGAAAAAAATGTAACTTACTTTGCAAATCCAATAAAGTCTTCGTGGTTAGTATTCATATATGCTAATTCACAGTCAATTAGTAGGCACAACTGCTCTTTGCAGTTTTGCTCCCTGCTTCTAATATGCGTAGTAACAATTCGTTCTACTTCTTCTCTTAATCGTGGGTAACGGGCCATCTAGCGACAAAATTGGAGAGTTAAATAATGTACTACGAAGATTAAATGCAAAATCAGCGACGAATGAAAGGCTATACAGAACAGTAGTTGCATCGAAAAAGAACTGATGATATAAAAGGAGACAAATTTCTAAATATTTATGAAGTTAAATGGTTTTAACTACTTACCCTATCGCTGCACATCCTAACAACATTTGATAGCTCCTGCACGACCAAATCGACGCACTTTAAAGAAGGTTCCTTCAGCCGAGATATTTGCTTTTTCACTATAGCCTCAAAAGCCATATCTGGAGTAAACAAACCCACCTACAACGAAAAGGAAAACATTTTAAAATCGCTCAATGTGACTCTGAATTAGATTTCTTTCTCTTTATTGTGTTAATGTCTCTTTTTCTTCGAAATATTCATCACATGAGGCGTATATGTGAGTATTCTTTAAAGAAAGCCGTCAAATTAGGACAATGACTCTTCTAGTGTCACAGTCCTCTGCAAACTGAGGGTGATTCACCAAAAAAGTGCGCTATACAGATTGAACGAATTTAAAACGGATCATACAATTTAATATATGTCTGTTTTAAACTGCATTTGAAATAGTGGACCAATATAAAACTTGGACAAAAATAAATCCATACCTGGCGATAGACATTGTATAAAATATCGTTCAACTATCTGTCTCGCAACAATGTTGTTTGCGTAACAATGTTGCCAATCGCCGTGTAATAATCCGATTTGCGGATCTTTTTGAGAGTTATATCTTCTTCGTATCTTTAAATAAATCGGATATTTGCCTATATTTTTCATTGTATCTACCAATCTACTACAACAGACTAATAACAAAAATAAACTTAATGGTTTGTAGTTATTTCATTCCTTTCCTGTAAATATTTTATGGTTAACAACTTGTTTGAGAAACATCTAGAGGAATGATTTTGGCAACACCGCTCAAAATATCCATCTATGGGAAGCGATAAGTGGTTTGACAGCATAATAAAATCTTAAATTTATGTGTAGCTTTCAATTTTTATACGTGATGGGTGGGCAACCTATTTGGGTAGAGTTTTGAATTGTTCTTGAATGATTTCAAAATCCAGCAGCCCGCTGAAGTATTGGATTTTCATAATATAATTATTTGACAACCTTTTGTTGGCCAACCACCTAGAAAGGAATAGAGCCGAAATACATAATATTTCGTATGTTCCGAATTTATTTCGTTCAATCTGTATATAGCAGTCGTGCACGGGGTCCCTGTATGTCCAGAGAAATAGTCCGGGAGCTCACGAAAACTTTCAATTATAGATAAAAAAATAAACTTACCCTAATACCGTGAATGTTTCTAATAGCGAAGGCGATCTCCCTGCGAAGCTCCTTCTCATCGAATTCCATCTTGACGATTTCGAAGGGGAACCGTTCGTGGAATAACCTATTGATTTTAGCACCGCCCGACAATTCGTTCGTGTTGATTTGTGCCGAACCGGAACCTTCGATGGTTCTGTCGAAATCCACTTGCAATTGCTGGATCATCCTTAAAAAAACCTCGAGATATAGAAGAAGAACCTTGGATAATCGAATAAGATGAATTAAAATCACTGTGATATGATTCGTTTTCCTACCGTTCGAAGCGTTAAAACGGTTCATACAGTTCATAAAATCGGTGAAGTTAAGGTGAAAATTATAAAGGCGATGTAATAGTACATAAATGTGTCAAATTTGTTAAAAATATAAAAGCTAAAACAGTAAGAGCGATTGATGGATTCGACCGTTACTTGATGGAAATTCATTTTCAAAAATAAAAAACACTTAAATAGTGGTAGTGTACAAACTTCAATGTGGCGACTGCCCAAAACTTACATCGGTCAAACTGGTAGAAATTTTGATAAACGAATAACAGAACATAAAAGGGCTTTCAAGAATAGAAAAACAGATTCGACATACGCACTTCACCTTCTAGATCATAATCATTCTTTTAATGACAAATTTAAAATTCTTCACATTCAAAATAAAGGCCTTAAGCTATCTTTGTTAGAATCTATGGAAATCAACAAATTAAAAAACACAGATATAATTCTGAATGAACAACTTGAGACAAACAGTTCTCCCCTCCTCAACCTATTTCATTAGAGACTATAAATTTGTAAACCCAAGCCAAAAATAGATCACTTGAGAAAGGCAATCAGCCGAAATAGCTGTAGTGATAAGAAGTTAAAATAAATTTTGTGGAAGTTTGAAAACAAGGTTTTACAGTGTTTTATTGTTACAGTAAGAGCGAGAGAATAATACAAAAAAGAGTCAGATTCGTTAAAAATGTTAAATACGAAAACATTGAGTGCTATGTAACGGAACATAAATAAGTCAAATTTGTTAAAAATGTATTAAGAAATGAGTCTAATTTAATGAAAATGTAAAATTGAGAACAATACGAGATCTGGCTATCAAATTAGTTAAAAATTTAATAAAATCGATACAACGTGACATAAATGAGTCAAATATTTGTTAAAATTGTAAAACTTTTAAACATTAAAAACTGTGGAACTGTAATTAAGTGAGTCAAATTTGTTAAAAATGTATTAGGAGCGATGGAACAGTACATAAATGTGTCAAATTTGTTAAAAATGTAAAACTTTAATCATTAAAAGTTATTGAACGATTGTTAAGTGAGTCAAATTTGTTAAAAATATATTAGGAGCGGTAGAACGGTACATAAATGAGTCAAATTTGCTAAAAATGTTAATCTGAAAACAGTAAGAAGGGTGGAACAGTTACAAAAATGAATCAGAGAAGCGACAGAACAGTACATAAATGAGTCAAATTTGCTAAAAATGTCAATCTGAAATCATTGAGAATGGAAGAACAGTACAAAATGAGTCAGAGTTGTTAAAAATGTATTAGGAGCGATGGAACAGTACATAAATGAGTCAAATTTGTTAAAAATGTAAAACTTTAATCATTAAACGTTATTGAATTGCTAAAAATGTCAATCTGAAAACATTGAGAAGGGTGGAACAGTACAAAATGAGTCATGGTTGTCAAAAATGTATTAGGAGCGATGGAATAGTACATAAATGAGTCAAATTTGTTAAAAATGTCAATCTGAAAACATTGAGGAAGGTGGAACGGTACAAAAGGAGTTTAGAGTTGTTAAAAATGTATTAGGATCGAGGAAACAGTACATAAATGAGTCAAATATGCTAAAAATGTCAATCCGAAAACATCTATTTACTAAAACTAAAACTTAAAATTATTCGTTCGGTACTTACTGCAACATCGCCTTAGTCTTGATAGATGGATCGTCCGGTCGGAAGTGTTTGAACTGGTCCACATCTTTCTCCAATTGTAACAGTTGCTTTTGTAGTTTATCTCTTAAACTGGGTAGGGTGTCTCTGATGTGGTTGGTGAGTTGTTGGTTGAGAACTCGTTGTAGGTAGGGCGTACCTAGGCGTTCTGCTATGTGACGATACGACGGATGGCTGAGAAAAATAAATTAACTTAATGTTATGTTGAAATTGTACAATAATTAGAAACATAAGTGTTTTATGCGCGATCGGCTGTGATGTGGTTCGTTTTCTTGGTGCATAAGCTGTTAAAACGACTTATCTCGAATGTTACATCAGTTAAATTAGCAGCGAAAACATTAAGAGAAGAACTTTTTTTAAATTGCCGCGCATTCGAAAACGATAAGAGAAAAAGGTAAGACTGCGTCTTTTTTCCTCTAAAATTAAAAATTCTATCATTGCTATTATGAATATAACTATTTTTTGGTATAAATATCGGATAGAGGAGTTCCTAGCTGTAATAAGCAATGCCAATAACCTATTGTGATAAGAAACTTCCGTACAATTATTATCAACCTCGAATTGCAACAGAAATTTGTATATAAATAAACGTGAGTCACAAAACAATATTGTTGTATTAAAATTTAAATATTCGATTTTTTTGTGTAAAGACGTTGTGACTCCAATTACAAGGCATATTCAGATTAAACATTTTCAATCGTCAAATATAAAAATACTAGGTGCTAAATCGGGGTTGAATAATGGTTAACCTATTAATTCGATATTTTGAATGTCCCACAGCTATCTGTGTGTTCTTTTATGATGTAGCAAACAAACACTTTTTATACACTTTTTATACACTAACGATTTTGAGTGTCATATTAATAATTGAATATTTTGGTACTCACCTAAAGAAAAACTTCCTCTCAGCATTTAAGGCAGCGTTTATGTCTTTGCGACCGTCTATATCTTTCTGAGATCGATTAACAACGCCGATGTAACCTCGTCTTAAAGGCAACAATTTATTTTCTAATATATCACGGGCATCAGTACCTTCGTCCATGAGATCCAGCTTGGTGATGACACCAATAGTTCTTATACCTGAAAGAGTGAGATAAATAACCAGAAAGTTAAAAATCGAAACATTTTTGTGTGTATTTGAAACAAAAATTACTTTACCTTGAGGATCTACCTCTTTGGCCAGTTTCAGAGCATCTGAGTTCGCCAAATCGGTATTGGCAGGCGTAACAGCTAAGATAAGGCAAGATTCCCTCTTTATGAATTGCATAATCATACCTCTGATTTGCTGTTCGATGTCGACTGGTTGGTCTCCGATGGGAACCTTTGTTAAGCCAGGTAAATCGATAAGAGTTAGATTTAGCACTGGAAGATAACAACAATTAATATTGTGATATTAATTACTAAACAAATTGTAGTAAATTTACCATTTGGAGAATATACCCTTAGGTTAATGGGTATATTGGATATTCCTTTATTGCTTCCAGTGACTCTGTCAGTTTCTGCTTCAATCTCTCTTCGGACTTCGTCGAAATCGACAAATTTCTTTCCTTTGCAATGTAAAAATTCGGCATGTTCTGCAAAAATTTGCGTACATAAAATATTTATTCTTAAAACATGTTCAAACTAATTTAATTTATTATCTAGTTCATGATTATGATAGTAACTAGATAGATAATGAAAAATAATACGATAGATTTAGCTCATGACGACAAAATTTCAACCATAAATCCGCTGCAGTGGCCAGATCTAATTCCATGTGACTATTTCATATTTCAAAACTTAAAAATGACTTAAAATGCAATTTTGCAGGTAACGATAAAGTTATAGCAGAAACTTTACAAAACTTTGAGGACCAGTAGCAAAATTACTTTTTGGAGAAGATAAACAAGTAGAAAAAGTGTCTTGAGTGTGTTGAGCCATGTAAAACAAAGCCACTGAACAAAAATAACCTATTTTTTACTTAGGATTTCGACAGAACCAAACAAGGGAGTTCTATAGAAAGATGAGCACTTTTGTGATCACAATGTGCTAGTAACATACTATTTTTAATATTAATACTTTTTAATAATGACAATTTATAGAAATTTTGCTCAATGGTTTATTTTTGGCACTGATTTTTTTCTATTTTTATTACCCTTGTATTTATGTATTTATGTAGCTGAGCAACATAAATGTTCACAGTACAACATGTCAGAATCACCACTTTATTATACCGTTTCTAAAAAAAGATAATAAACAAACTGAATAACACAAATATGTATGGAATGATTCTAGTAACCTTCACACCAATATTTCGATACCAACACCTACCCCACTAATTAACTAGAAGCTAAAATTGTCCTAACTATTCAGAAAACATGCGTTTTGCTGTATCAGATTTATTATCATTATTTCAATCTAATGAAGATCCAGATTAAGTGTATTAGGAAGGTAATACAGTTAACAATAAAAATTTAGTTCTATAGCTTGTTCCACAAAGTTGATCCATTTGGGATTATTTTTTAAATAACTCAATTAAAAACTATCCAAGTGATTTCCCAGGATGAATATTCAGTAAGAAAATGGATAAAAAAACTCAAAAATGTGCATCCTAATTAGAAGAAATAAACTGTCAGTTAAAAAATCATAAAGAGAGAATTTAAAATGCATAAATTGTATAGAAAACTGTATTTATTATTTAGATGAAACCTTAAAGTACCCATGGATGTATAAAGTGAAAAAAGCAGAGTAAAGCTATAGCTCTGCAGATTATTAAGGTTGATCTGCACTCCCTCCAAAGACAAATTACACATTCAAAAATTTAAAAAAAAATTGAGAAGGTATATTTGACAACTAGAAGTATTTTGACAAATTTTGAGCAAACTTCATGTTTTCGTTTTCGAAAAAAAACTCTAAAAAACTACTTTTTTCTAAGTATAAAGCGGGAAAACCAGACATACAATTTTGTTAATTTTCTTACAGAATGAAGATATAACACTAAGAAATACTTATGAATTTTTTTGAAAATTTTTGAATTTACAATTTGTCACAATGAGAAAAATAATATGTTCGGCTTATAAATAAAGCTACCGGTAAGGAACTGGAAAAAATTTTAATAACAACATATATAAAACTGTAAAAGTGGAAAATATTTGTAATAAAATGTTTAATATTTTTTCCTAAACATACAAAAATCTTGTTAAACAAGAATTATTATATCTTGAACTGCCGCCATCAAATTGTATACTAGAGAGATTTCAAATGTTGGTAGTATTTATCATATATAGATTACATTACTTTCAGCCTCGAAACGCTTCAAGCTCAAAAATTGATGTAGCAAGTGGTTCATATTTAATATTATTTTTGTAGAATTTATTGGCTATATCAGGATGAAGGAAAGATTTAATGGCTCTTGTATCAATAAGAAGTTTAAAAGAGGGATTTTGAATTTTAATATAAGGAAGCTCTCTTTTGTCAGCAAAGGAATGCAATTCTATAAGTTTCTTCTTTTCTTTTTAAAATCTTTGAAAATTTACATCTTCATCACCATATTCTTGGATTTTTTGTTCATAGTAAGAGTAATCTGGGTATGTGTCTATATACCTTTGTCATAATTGTTCTTGTTGTTCAATATTAAAGAGCTCTTCTACCATGAATCAGGGGCTGGCTGTTTGTTGAAAGCAGCAGTTTCTTTGAGATTGGGGTATATTGCTGGTTTGGCCTGTGAATACACTTATAGGTGTTGGCTTATATGATTGAGATGGATCTGGTTCATGAAAATTGGGTTGGTTAGTTGTAGAATTTTGTGCATATTGACTGATTTGTTGATTTTGTTGGAAACTAGGGGTTTGTAATGTCCCTCTTGGACTATTGTTGAATGGCTGTTGTAGCAGAGGCATTTAATTTGGCCTAAAGAACGGCTGTGGCCATTGGGGCTTGGGCACCTCAGACTGCAATCATGTAGGAGCAGGTGTATGAGTTAAATTGTGTCGTTTGTGAAGTGGCAGATGATTTGTTAGAAGATGATAAGGAATAATTATGAGATTTTTGGAGATATCTAATATTATTTTTTTTTTCTGAATATATCGGATAGCAAGAGTGAGATTCAGTGGTCTGATGGATTGAATTGTTGATCCTAAGGGTTCTCTTAGACCTGCCAAAAATATGGTTAGAGTTTGACAAAAAAATCCTTTTTTACTTCTTTTAACTTTCTCATGTTATATGTGCAATTCAATGTGATTTGAAATGGTATTTAAAAGATTCATGACTTTTTCAAGAAAATGATGAGGATTTTTTGCTGGGGCTTGGCAAAGATTGACTAAATCTCTAGTTAATGAGTTTTTGTTACGTTGGTCTGCAAAATTTTAGACAAAAACTGATTTCATTGACGGCCAGTATTTACAGCTGTATTCGCTCCGTGCGTGACTGATGCGACACCTACCGCCTTCATCTGACAATTTGGGAATCCCAATTTTCAGGTTAAACATATGACATATGTTTGACATTGTTAAATACATGCGAAATTGACAATTATTAATAAATTAGTTTTTTAACTATATTTTTTCAGTTTATGTACAAAATAAATGTAGTATTAAAAACTGGGTTTCTCAAAATTAATCATAATATATCTTTTCAACTCCAAACGGAAAGAAAGGGAAAAATCTAGTACTCGGCAAATCAAGTTTTTCACGCAAAAGAGCATATAATTAAAAACAATAATAGTAAAAGTTATGATATAAAAGCTAAAATCATCTGCAGTTAGCTTGAAGCCTTATGAAATATCATTCAAGGTAAATTATTTAAATTTTTTCTATTTCAATTGCATAAAAATGAAATATGTGATATTTACTTTTTCATATTAATAGCACGAATTCATCTTTTCTTTTCTCTAATTTATATGTAATCTTTGGAAACCTATGAAAACTACACTCACCATTTTTGCTATTATTAGCACAATTAAATACGCAACATGTATTTGCACGCATTTTTGATAAAATTTAATGCGTAAAAATATTTTGTCCAATATTCCAATTTTGTCATATTTCGCCGCTACGCACGCTGGCATCGTTTCAATGTACCCCTACCATGGTCACGCACGGAGCGAATAAAGAAATAATTTTTATGAGAAATATGGAAATACATGCTTGGCAGATGAAGACAATGGATAGGGAATACTGAAAAAAAATTCTTGGGGAGGCTAGGATCCACACAGGGTTGTAAAGCCAAAATGATGATAAAGAAATAATTTTTCTGGCTCTTCCATTAATTTTGTTCATAATTCTTTGTGTAAGCATATGATTTTAAAAATATTCGGGATTTGTATGATCCTAAAAATGGTTTAGAAGCATGGAAATCAATAAAATTGTGATTCATTTTTTCAGTTCAGAGGTCACTAAGAATCATCTGTAATAGTTGCTGTACATTCGAAGATGAGTTCAATAAATTAGCTGATTTAATTTCTATAGTAATAGAATAGTTCTAAGTAATACTGTTAACTAAGGAATAAGTGTCCTGGTAAATGTTTTCTTTTATAAAAATGTCAGGACAAACTTTTATTTAACATTTTAGCTTTCAAATGTCAAGTAACTGTTTATATTTATAAACTATTCTATCTCTTGATTATTATTTATTCCATACATGGTGTTAAAATACCACCATGTAAATAATTTCTTTGACCTCCAGAAATAATAATAAACAACCAGTAAAAACAGTTAATGAATCCAAAACAAAGGTGATATTCTTACCAGAAATGGCGTTAATGAGTTGCAAAATGAGCGGTCTTCTAGTAACGATTCCGGAGCCTCTGGGAAGGAAGTCTCTGAAAAAAAAAGATAACTATGTCATTCAACTCATTATCATGTACACTTAGGCAAAAATCAATACCAACCCATAAGTCTAAGTGTAAGTACAATAATTACGCAGAAGGAAATAAATTGCTGGGGCCCCATTCCCGAGAAAGAATCAATTTTCTAGTACATTTGACAGGTCAATAGCCAGGTCAATGTGTCAAAAGTCAAAAATTAAAATTGATTTACAACATTTAGGTATAATCAATAACTAATTGTGGATATTTATGTGGGTTGAAATCTAGAAAAACAGTATTTATACGTACTTTCCGACGAAATTTTCCAAAACTGAACTTTTTCCTGCCGATTGTCCGCCCACCACAGCGATTTGTGGCAGATCAAGAGTCATATGAACACCCAGTTGTGTGAAAGCATCTTGCAACTTATTCACTATGGGAATAAGTTGCTCCATTCCCAAATTCCCTGCCATTTTTAGGCCGGAATTTTACATAAACTATTGAAAAATCAACAAATTCTATTCACCACTTCGGAGGTACATCTACGAACATGGCCGATAATAAACTGACTGAATTTAAATTGCGCATGAGTCATATAGTCCTCGTATTATTTTCATTTTATCAATAACCATTGTATTCACTTCTGCCAAAGATTATGAGTTTTTTTTAAGTTAGTCTATTGCAGATGCAGTCAAAAGTGTTATTCTCGTAGTCTTATCATTGAATGATAAAATAATTTTCAGAATTTGAATATTTTGATTATCAATACACACGCGTCTGCGTATTACTACATCGTTCACATTTATTATCTATACAATATCATTAATATTTTTTTAATCTCCAACTTGAATTTCCACCACTTAATTTATTTAATATTGTTGGATCTTTCAAATAATAAAAAACTATTTTACCGTCAAATAATATAATATTCGATTTAGTATTTTTAATTTTTATATGTTGGTTATAGTGATTTATATATCGATATAATCGACAATGACAGCAATCGACAGCTGTTATCTGATGACGTTTTGATAAAAACAAATTTAACCTCCTTAAATTTAATACTAAATAAAATAGCATAAAAATGATCCATAGTTTATTTATTATAAATGCACAAGGGTAAGACAATTTTGCAATACACTAAATAAACCAAATAACTATTGTATAAATTTCAGTGATGTTTTTCTGGAAAAACATTGGCGAAGTGTTATACCGAAATCAGTATGTGACTATTATTTAGAAGCCCAGAGATCAAATGGGAGTGATATTAACCCAGTTATAGCAACCCCTCACCACTACCTTATATCTATACAAAGGGGCGGTGTGAGTTTTGTAGCTGTATGCATGGAAGAGATACCACCTCTGTTTGTTATCGAATTCCTGCATAGGGTAGTAGATATTTTTCAAGTAAGTAGTTATTATGGGTTTAGTATTTTTCTTATTATTATTGTTTTCTAGGATTATTTTTCTGAATGTACAGAGTCGATTATTAAAGAAAACTATGTTGTTGTATATGAGGTAAGTGGGTGGAGATGAGTGGTAATATTTTATTATTTTGATCTAATTTTTTAAGCTTTTGGATGAGATGTTAGATAATGGATTTCCTCTGGCCACCGAGAGTAATATATTGAAAGAGTTGATCAAACCACCAAATATTTTGAGAACTATTGCAAATACAATGACTGGGAAGACAAAGTAATGTAGAAACATAGATATTTTCATTGTATTGTTCGTTATCTATCGTTAAACTTATTTGTGAATGTTTTTTTAGTGTTAGTGATATTCTACCTACTGGCCAACTGTCCAACATTCCTTGGAGGAGATCTGGAGTTAAATATACTAATAATGAGGCATATTTTGATGTGATAGAAGAAGTTGATGCTATTATTGATAAGTCTGGATCTACAGTTTCTGCAGAAATTCAGGGTTATGTAGGTACTCATTTATTTTATGAACAAAATGTCATTTTTAACATATATTAAATTAACTTCAAAAAACTTTTCTGTTTTAGATTGATTGCTGTATAAAATTGAGTGGCATGCCAGACTTGACCCTATCATTTGTAAATCCAAGATTATTCGATGATGTTAGTTTCCACCCATGTGTCAGGTTCAAGAGATGGGAGGTACATAATCAAATAACTTGTAAATGACCATTCAGCCAATGATTGTACTTATTTTTAGGCTGAACGGTTACTTTCTTTCATTCCACCAGATGGCAATTTTAGGCTGATTTCCTACCACATCAGCAGCCAGAGCGTGGTTGCAATTCCTGTCTATGTGAGACATAATCTATCCATTAAAACAGGCGAACAAGCCAGGCTGGATTTGACTGTGGGTCCCAAACAGACTATGGGAAGAACTATTGAAAGTATGTAGTAAATAAGGTTATATTAGGTTATATTTATTATCCTATATGTTTTTGCTAGAATTACTTGATGTGGCCAGAATAAAAAAATGGCAAAATAAAGGATGAACAAGTTGTTGCTGGTGAAGAGAGAATCACAGTAAATAATTTCTTTATATAACTGTTTTAATAAAAACAAAAATAGCGGAAGTTTTTGTAGAACACCATAGAAACAGTGCATCTAGAGATATTTAATAACTAGAAATAGCAGATAGCTTAATACAAATAATCTAAATTAATAGAATATGGAGGTTTACTTTCAAAGAAAGTAAGAAAGCAATGTGGGAATCCTAATTTTGGTGAGGCAATGTAATATGAGATATTAAGATTGATTTTAATGGGTAGGATAGAACAAAGATGAGGTCCAGGGAGAAATCAACATTCCTGACTGCAAGATATAAGAGTTTGGTACAGAATTTGAATTGCCGGTGAAATTTCCATACTTGTTAGAGATGGGCAAATACGACTAAATGGCACATCAATGTTTACAGTTAAAAACATAAGCCACTTGAAGAAGAAGAATATAAAAATGAAAAAAACAGAAAATATGATTTACAAAGAATATAAATAGAGACCAACAATATAAAAAGGAATCTTCCAATGCTAAAGGAATAAAAAGGGTGTCCCACACACTAAATTTACTGTAACCAACAAAAATACTGGAAATGCTTGTACTTTATTCTTGTGTTCTAATTTTAGGTGTCAAACTTGAAGTTTTGATGCCCAAATGCATACTCAACTGTGTACTAACAGCAAATCAAGGCAAATATAATTTCGATCCTGTGTCTAAGATTTTACATTGGGATATTGGAAAAATTGATGTGACCAAATTGCCAAACATCAGGGGATCTGTAAGTATAAATGTACTTAATCAATACCATTTCCTTGTTACATACATTATTCTTATTATGTTTTTCTTTATTATTATAAAAATTGCTTTTGTCTTGGTTTTCTACTGGTTATGTTTCTACTGTAATGATGAACTGAGCTTCAAATAATAAACTAGGAGGATCGATAGGATAGTTATTAGTTGTTTTCTTAGTAAAATCTCCTGAACAATACCTAAAAACTCTATTTCTCATATAAATTTTGCACACTAGTTTTTTGAGGTTCTACATCACTTTTATCTTCCAGGTATCCATAGCCAGCGGTTCAAACACTGCCGAGATAAATCCTTCCATAAATGTGCATTTTACGATCAGTCAATTGGCAGTTAGTGGACTGAAAGTCAACAGGCTCGATATGTACGGAGAAAAATATAAGCCATTCAAAGGTGTTAAGTATATTACGAAGGCAGGACGGTTTTTGGTCCGTATGTGATCCTAATTTAACAGTTTTAGTTTTTAAGATGTATAGATTATTTAAGTTTATATACTATAAAACTTTTTTGAGTTATTACAATATTTACAAAATTGGTCAAAATAAAAGATCCAATTGAGTTTTTGAGTTATTTACGACAAAATATTTGTTGACTAACATTTTTCACATACATTAAAATTGTTTATTTTAGTTTTTTTCTTATTGAGGAAAAATGTGCTAGTGCAGTTAACTTAAAATCTTTTGAATTGTATAACTGGTTGCCTATAAGTAGTTTATATCCATTCAAAATCTTGTTAAATATATAACTGGTTGCCTAGAAGTAGTTTATATCGATTCCAATCTTATGAAAATAATATATAACTATTAATAAATAATTATTATATAATATATAATAATTATAGCTATGAGCTATAACTTTTAAATGTTTTTATAAGTAAAATAAATTTTAATTGATATATAGTGTAATTTAATGTTAAAAGGCCCTCTATAATTTATTTTTTTTTTGTTATTTTTATAAATATGTAAAATTATACTCAAATAAATATAATTGTATTTTTAAACTTGGGTTTTAATTTTATAGCAACTAATTTTCTTCTTCTTCTTCACCTCACCTTTTTGGCGGCCTTCCAAAGGGTCTTCTGCTATACGGTTTGTTGTTTTACAGATGTTCGCTAATCTATCTGGTCCCATTCGGTTTACATGTTCGTTCCAGTTTTTTTTTCTTGTTTTTATCCACCTGTTTAATATTTTGAATTTTGCATTGTTCGCGTATACTTCTGTTGGTTTGTCTGTCTCTTAATGATATGCCCGTTATTGATCTTAATTTCATTAATCTTTCATTTCAATAATAAAATTACCGGTCAAATGTTTATATACAGCCAAACGATGCAGCATATACCTATATAACTAATTCTTTTTCTCTTTCTCTCTCTCTCTCTCTCTCTCTCTCTCTCTCTCTCTCTCTCTCTCTCTCTCTCTCTCTCTTACCTATAGCATTAGATTATAGATTGTGCAGATTCACTCCCATATAAATTTGTAACGTCGAACGCGTGTATAGAAGTATAACTTCTACCGGCAGTCCCACTGGACTGCCACACCCGTTTTTTTTATCTTTAATATGTCAAGACGATTTTATTTCTTTAGCTTTACCATTTAACGCTACATATAAACCATTATTTATTCTAAGTTTCCTTGTTTGGTTTGTCAAGGTTTTGGAACTTCGTAGGGTTACCAACAAAAGCTTTGAATTGAAAATAATTTTCGTTCCTTTTTAATAAGACACCTATTACGCCACTGTCTTTATGGCATCCAATAAACCGGACTTACCGAATAGTTTGTGCATTATTCCAACGAAACCGTTCGTCTTATTGTTAGTCAAATAGTTGAAAGTCTTGAATCATTCCGGAACACCTTTTCTGATAAATTAATCACCTCTACGTTCATCGGCATTTCCGGGATCAAAGACGAACATTCGAATTCGGAGAATGTCGTGATGATTGTAACAGACTTGATTTAATTAATCGTCGATTTTAAGACGGTGCCAAAAGGTGAAAATAACTAAATCTATGGATGAGTTCCTATGAGGATCTTATGAAAGAGACATGAGGGTTGTATAACTTAAAGGCACAAGTTATAAAGAAAACGAATGTTATTTTCCTCATACGATTTTCTTGTTTTGTTGACAATGTTTTGGAATTTCGGAGAGTTACCAATGAAAACTTTGAATTGAAAATAACCTTCATTCCTTTTTAATAAAACACTTGTTACGCCTGGCATCTAATAAGCCATATCTATAGAATAGTTTGTGAATTATTTCAGTAAAACTGTTCGTCCTATTGTTAGTCAAATACCTAGTTGAAAGTTATTAATCATTGGGGTACACCTTTTTTGATGAATTAATCACCAAAGTTCATCGGCATTTCCGGGATCAAAGACAAACGTTCGAATTCGGAGAATGTCGTAACGATTTTAAACATTTAAAGATAGCATATTAAAATTGTTATCTGCTGTGATTTTAGACTCGACGGTGCCAAAAGGTGAAAAATAACTTAATCGATGAATGATCTATGAAATCGGCATGTTGATGAGTTCCTTTGAGGATCTTGAGGGTTGTATACCATACAGGCGCAACTTATTAAGAAGGTGGTTTTATTGTGTTCTTCATCTAGCTTTTAAAAGTTTATTTTTCAATAATTAACTAACGAAATTGCTGAAAATATTTAACTAAAATACGAATAAAAATTATGCAATCTCTCTGCATGTTTAAATTTGTTTAAACATGCATCCTAAAAAATTCTCATATTAATCTTGTAATTATTTTTCATCATCTTAATTAAGTACTCATACATTGAGTTGTGTTTTATTATAATTTATGAAAATATTTTAATTCAAAAATAATGACAGATAATCAATCTAAACATAACTTTAAATTATTATAATAAAACATTATAGTGAGATATTGGATTGTAACTGTCACGTTTTGAAAAAAGGTTTTTTGTCCCGAATATTTTATAGTTTATAATACGTAGGATAAAGTATAATAGTTTTTCACATTTCTTTTGTCTGTTACTAAACTTATTGACACAAAATACGTGTTCGTGTTCGGTAGGTAATTGAAGTATAAAATTACAGTAGATGCATTCCCAATGGCAATGTTCCCTATACCAATACCCTAGGTTTAAAGATCTTTCAAACATTTTGGATATTAGCTCAACCCTATCTCTGGTTATTAAATTTAATGATAAAAATAATACCTATCTACAAACTTTATACATTTTTGAACATTATTTTTTATATTTAGATTTTGTGCAATTTCGTTATCTGTGCTGGCAACAACGAATTGATTCACGAACCATTGTGTCTAGTCTGAACACCGGTTTACATTGGAAAAAAAAGTGTACCAGTTTTATACGATCTTATTGTCTAAAACCGAAAGAATTTAATTTTAGCCAGCAACAATTTCAGAGTTAATCGTATCAGTGGAATAAATAAATAAATATTATTTGTCATCACGATTCACGAGTATGTATCAAAAAGTCTAAAATATTACTGATTCATGGTTTAATTAATCTTATCAATCTTTCCTGTGAATAATATAATTTAATGACCCAAAATAAGACTCAAGAAATTGAGCAATAATATATTTACATCACTTTCATTCCTAGAAAAAATTACCTACATTTTATATAATGAAATTGTTTGTTTTATTGCTTTGTTTTAGATTTTAGCACGAAGTTGATGACTTACTATACGTATTATTGTTAAGCTGGATTTCTTTATTGCTGATACTAGTTTCCAAGAAAAATAATGTGCATATGAACAAATTTGAGTATCTATGTAGAGAGTTAGAAGTGGAATTCGAAAAAAGTGATCTACGAAAATTACAAAACCCACACAGATATTACAGGGTGAGTTTTAAATGCGACATCGCTCTATAATACCATTGTGGTACAAGATATCCAAAAAAACTTATTTATGGATAGTTCTGATATGGCACGCGAAGAAGAAGGAGATGGAATAAGGTAAAGGAAAGAATAAAGAAATATGTTCTAAAAAATGAACGAAACAAAAGGGAACTTTTTTCTAATTGCCTCCACAACTTTGTATATACTTTAAAATTTAATTTTCATTACAACCAATTGAGGGTTAATCAAAAGATTGAATTTGTGCAGAAAACATTTGGGATTTTTTTCTACATGATATTAATAACAAAAATTTACTTCCCTACTTGTTATCTGCATTAAAATAACGATTTTTAAAATATTTCTCGATAATCAGCGATCAGCAAATATTTCTGGTACTCATTAACATACACATAAAAGTTAATTTTCTGTTACCATCTGCAGGAACTATCGATGCAATTGTGGTGATACTAATTACCAATCAGTTAAACAACTTATTTTCATTATTATGCAAATACAGACAGTGATGGAGACAACGTCGAAGAAAATACAGACGGATTCTGACGGAATCTTTGGATACCCGTTGAAAACACAAGTTGGACAATTCGTAGAAATACTGTACGTGTATATCCCCTCGATCCCTTGACGTCCCAGACTGAAAACCCTTCAGCTAATCTGTTATTAACAATTTAATTGTTTAAATGATTATAGCTCGTAAACTATTAGAGATATTTAATTTTAGCAAAATGAAGATTGTTCCTTTTGAAAAAATTAACAAAATGGCGTAGGATAAACTTACATAACTGGCAGAGGAGCAAAGATTATTCTCGCATTTGCAGATGATGTACATGCAGTAGCACAGACAACAGTGGAAGTTAAGGATATAGTATCGAACTTTGAAGAAGCAACACTAAGCGTAGGCCTGAAAATAAACGAAGAAAAAACTAAATACATGGTTGTATCAAAAATGGAACGACAGCGAATAAGACAAAACATTACCATAAACGATCATAATTTTGAGGTGGTCAAAGAATTCAAATACCTAGGAGCAACAATTACCAGTGAAAACACAGGAGAACGGGAGGTTGAAATACGAATACTGGCGGGGAATAAATCATTCTTTGCCATTCAACATCTAATGAGTTCAAAGCTTCTCTCAAGGCGTGCCAAAATCCAAATGTACAAAACCATAATACGACCAGCAGTGCATATGGAAGTGAAACATGGACATTGAGAAAGAAAGAAATCAATAAGCTATTAGTATGGGAACGCAAAATCCTGCGAATTATATATGGTCCTTGCAGGGACAGCGTGACAAATGAATGGAGGAGCAGATACAACAATGAAATAGAGACTCTCTTCGGGAAAGGAAACATCGTAAGATACATAAAAGCCAATAGATTAAGATGGGCAGGCCACGTGGTACGGAGTGATGACGACAGACTGATTAGCAATGTGTTTTGGGAAAGACCAGATGGTAGAAGATCGACAGGAAGGCCTAGAAAAAGGTGGAAAGACGCAGTCAGGGAAGACCTGGAGAAGATGGAAGTAAGGCCATGGGAAATAATAGCACAGGATCAGAATCAATGGAAGGCAATAGTAAACGCGGCAAAAACTCACGAAGAGTTGTAAAAGCCAATGATGATGATGATGTAGGGTAAACTTTGATCCGATTGTATAACTATACAGAATTTCGTGAAAAACAATTGCAAAATGATCTATCTGAAGATGGAAACAATTAAACTGTATTATGTTGTAAATAAGTGTAACACAACAAATTTAGTTTAATAAAACATTTTAATATAGAAAAAAAATAGATGTTTTCGATATGACAAATGACAAAGTTGTGGCAGTTATATAGGCTGCCAGTTAAAATGCCATAAAAATCAAACTACTAATGGTCTAAACAGTATTTTAAGTCCATTTCTTAGTTTTAAATGTAAATTTGTTAAAAATGGTCTATATTAGATTTTATTTACAGAAATCGCAAATTATAATGTTCGGTTTCGCAGCCAGCACACTCATTGTGAGCCAACATTTCACATATTAAACATTGAACCCATAGTTCTCCTTTCCTATC